CCAGCGCCGCCGCCGCTCCCGCCCCGCTGCCCGCTAAGTTCGAGGCTGAGGCCTTATACTCATAGTTTTGAAGATATGGGCCTTAAAGTGAAGCGCGGCGGAAGGAAACTTGCCCCCCCTCCCCCTGCTACCACAGGGGGGGCTCCCGATGTCTACCGACGGAAAGCACCCAAAGAACCACTGTTGCAAAAATGAGTCTTCTATACCAAAGTGGAGGGGTTCTTGCACTAAATTCCCTACTAATTCTAATTTAGAGGCGGAAGAGATTAGTATAGAAAAGTGCACATCTTGCTAAGTGCACATTCTGTGTCAGACCTTCATCATCAAGTCATTTATGCCCGTATTCACAAACATTACTATGAGGTCTCACAGTGCGTGTGAATGCACAGGGTGACACACGTAGTAATCACAGAGCTCTATTCAACGCTGTGCGATCGATTTGCTGCTTCACTTAAGCAAGCATCTTTTGTAAATACGGGTTGTATTGTAAGTACGGTTATGGCCGTTTTCACCATCAATCCCTAATTTTAAGTGACCTCTATGAAAACAAAATTCCTGTTATGTGTTACCATAGGGTCGCTTAAAAATTAGGGATTGATGGTGAAAACGGGTATTTGTCTCCACTGCAGAAGTAAGATCCTCTCTAACATAACAGAGGCAAATGGAGGATTAGACTTGACATTTGCATATTTTGCCCTGAGTGAACACTGAATATGGCAGTGGGAATATAGTTCCCACTATAGTCTTTGTTATCTAAACTACAAATGTTTCGTAGGTGGACCCTAGCGATTTGGTCAACACGTCATCACCGCACTGGTCTCTGAAGAAGCTGTCCGAAGCCAAACCGTGGCAGGCGTGGGTGGAGAAATACCAGGCACGGGTCAAGCTTGAAAATGGCAAGTACATATTTCGTGACATTCCATCTTGTAGTCTTTGTGAATTTTTTGCGCCCTTTCTTTTTCTCGGAAACTCTGGCGAAGCTGCGTATTTTTTAAGTTACGATAGTCAAACGGTGAAGGAGTCCAAATGGTCAACTCGACATCCAAGGAACGCGGGTTCGAACTCTGTGACTTATTGTGGTTAACTCACTCGTAACATAGTATCGAAATCAATTTTAAGTAAAAATAGGCTCAAAATACTCATAAATTGATACATTCGATATTAAATCGATGTATGGGTATCTATAGTCTGGTCCGGGAGCACGTAGAATTTTGTCCAATGACCCCAAGCTACCTACCTATTCTATAATTATGTTGCTGTCACGTTTGCACACTCACTGCGGGCGCCCGTTGCACAGTCGCGACAGCAATAAGGATGGGTAGCTCGGGGTCATTGGACAAAATTCTACGTGCTCACGGACCAGACTATACATATTTCAATAGAATAGAATAGGTCTGAGATTTGTATATTAATGAATAAATTATGATTTTAGTGGCCGAAGAGGTCCGCCGTAAGCGCATGTTAGCCGTCAACCCGGCGTACGTGCCGCGCAACTGGATGTTGCACGAGGCCATCGCTGATGCCGAGAAGAACGACTTTGAGAAGGTAAACCTTCGACTATCACAAATATTTTAGTTTGATTCTGTGTTTTGAACCTTATGCTGAAGACATGCAGTTCAAAATCTCGGGCCATCGCTGACACTGAAGAATCTCTTTGAGAAGGTATCCTTAGAGTAGGCGCACACCGTTGATTTTTAGTTGACCGATAGTTGTGCCCGATTTTAAATTGTATGAAGAATCGGCAAAATCGAATCGGCGTAGTGTGCGCACTCCTATACATGCCCACACTGGTCAACTGTCCGACTAAACTAAAGGCCGTCGAAAAATCAACGGTGTGCGCCTACTCTTAAGGATATCTGATCAAGCTGACCAATTAAATTTAAATTTCAATATTATTGCATTCGATTTTGATCCTTATTCTCAAGACATACGGTCCAAAGTCCATTTCGTAATCAGTACTAATGGTCACAAATAACAGAAGGATAACTCGGGAAATACATTTAAACAGAGTGTGGGATTCTACAACGCAATAAAGTTAGTGCAGTTGGTCAGTGCTAAAGCCTGGTCCGTGAGCACGTAGAATCCCGTCCAATGACCCCAAGAAACCCATCCTTATCGCTCGCGCGTAATTATACAGTGTGNAGGTTTTATTAAATTGATAACTGTAATTTCAAAAACCTGAATATAATCTCTCAATTCTTTATCCAGATATGGAGGTTACCAGTTTGGCTTCTGGGCCGATCAGCTCGGGGATGGAAGGGCACACATTCTTGGGGAGTACGTCAACCGGTAAGTATTACATGGTAGTATTGTTATTTTATGATTTTAAAGAAGCATCATGTACAGACATATAAATTCAAGCATTACAAAGCAAGTTATTACCTAAATATGGTTAGACACTTTCTTAAAAACCATCTATTGTCTGATCTGTAAGCACGTAGAATTTTGTCCAATGACCTCAAGCTACCCATCCTTATCGCTCGCGCGTAATTATATTGCTGTCGCGACTGTGCGACGGGCGCCCGCAGTGAGTGTGCGAGCGCGACAGCTACATGGATAGCTTGGGGTCATTGGACAAAATTCTACGTGCTCGGAGACCGGGCAGTAGTCGATGTCGCGTGTCGCCTAGTGTACGCCTACACTAAAACTACCAGAACATTCAGTAAAATGCCTAAAAGTTGTCTTCCAATCTTTTCACAGCAAAGGCAAACCCTGGCAACCCCAGCTTAAGGGGTCTGGTGAGACCCCGTACTCTCGCTTCGGGGACGGTCGCGCGGTGCTCCGCTCATCCATCAGGGAGATGATAGCTTCGGAAGCGTGCCATCACCTCGGCATACCAACTACCAGGGCCGCGGCGCTTGTAGGTAAGGCTTCAAGACTTCAAGGGGTCTGTGAGACCCCATACTCGCTTCGGGGACGGTCGCGCGGTGCTTCGCTCATCCATCAGGGAGATGATAGCTTCGGAAGCGTGCCATCACCTCGGCATACCAACTACTAGGGCTGCGGCGCTTGTAGGTAAGGCTTCAAGACTTCAAGGGGTCTGTGAGACCCCGTACTCTCGCTTCGGGGACGGTCGCGCGGTGCTCCGCTCATCCATCAGGGAGATGATAGCTTCGGAAGCGTGCCATCACCTTGGTATACCAACCACCAGGGCTGCGGCGCTTATAGATAAGACTGTACACTACTATAGGGGTCAGGAGAGACCCCGTACTCTCGCTTTGGGGCCGGTCGCGCGGTGCTTCCCTTCTCTATGTAGGAATTGGTGTGCCCCGCCCACTGCCACTTGATTTTAGCGATTCTGCGGGTTATGTCAGTCACTCTGGTTCTCCTACGGATCTCCTCATTTCTGGACCGGTCTTTGTGGAAATCCTTGGGGGAGGCCTTTGTCAAGCAGTGGACGTCTTTCGGCTGAAACGAACTAAAGCCATTCTGCGTGATCAGAGGTTATCTTCTAGACCAGCCCAAATAACGCTACAGGCTTGTAGGCCAACCAGTCGATCTTAATTATTTTTATTCCACAGTGAGCGACGACCACAAGGTCTGGCGCGACAAGTCCTACATGGGCCATGCGCGGCAGGAGCGCGCAGCCATCGTGGCCCGTGTGGCCCCCGCCTGGTACAGGATTGGCTCGCTGGAGATCCTGCTCAAGAGACGCGAGCCGCAGCTGATGACGAGACTCGTGGACCACGTCATACAGGTACTTGCAGGAGCGAGGTCTCACAGGCCACGCGCGGCCATCGTGGCCCGTGTGGCCCCCGCCTGGTACCGTTACCTTTACCTCACATTTCTTTGTGTATAGTTAATTGTGTTGTTTACTATCCCTAAATAAATAAATAAAATTAAACTTTTGTCACTTCCAGCATTACTTCCCCGAAATAGACTCCACCGATGAAGACAAGTACTTGAAATGGTTTACTGAAGTGGCGCACAGGAACTTGGACTTGGTGGCCAAGTGGCAAGGTTAGTATGTAAGTTGTAATGAGTGCGATTTTGTGCTTATTCTACTATTCCCCGTTTACAATCCCCGTCAACTCAAAAATTCATTAATCGTGGATTCGTGAATAGTGCAATAAGACCCATTTTTAAGATGTTTTTCCTTCAAATAAATTCCGAACATAGCCCGTCCTATAAATTGCTGAGCGAATCGTGAACTTAGGATGTCAACAAGGGTGTCAAGGGCAAATAATATTTCTTCTTCTTTTTTTATTTGGTGACATTTTAATCTAGGGGTAGTAACACATTTTTTGGCTTGGCCTTCCGGTTCCATCATCAGATCAGACCCTGTATTCAAAACCAGAGTAAATCAAACGAGTCCAAATTACAGATTTTCATCCTTTAGATTTATCAGTGTGTTTAGTGTGAGTTTACATCAAACGTCGTCGCTAGCGAGCGCGTCAAAAAAATCTATGAACATTTTAGTTCTTGAAAGTATTCGCTAGGGACGCTGTACAATCCGTCATACATTTAGGCGATTATCACACTGCACCGCGCTCCGCCGCGGTACGCGGGACGACAGATTTAATCATTGTATGCAAGTACCTCAGTTTGTATAGAAAACACGCGCGGCACAACACACTGACAACGCGTCTGCGCGCGGGATTCTTTATATGTAGCTACAAGGTTCGAGACTATATTGATGACAAGGATGTGTGGTCAGTTCAGTCTGCACATATTTGATGTACTTAAATTTGACTATTCTTACCTAATAGATAATTCCTGGCAATAAGTGGTGACTGAGTTTGTTCCGGCGTTTCTTCTCAGCACTTGCCATATGTTTGTCTCGAAGCGCTGGTAGGGCCCAAAAGATAAGGAGACATGTAAAGTGCCCCATAAGGGCTACCTTTTCTTTTTTTATTATTTTCTATTGACGTTCATAAGTGCCACTTGTGGTCTAAACTGAATAAATATTTTTGATTTTGATTTTGATTTTTTGATTCTATGCAGACCGCGGCGGAGCGCAGTGCAGTGTGATAATCGCCTTAAAGTCATACATTTAATGACATTTTTTATGCAGTCGCTAGCAAAGACGTTTGATGTAAACTCTCACTAAGTAAGTCCCTATAAACACGATGGCTCTCAAACATGTACTTCGGTTGTCAGGCGTCGGCTTCGCTCACGGCGTGTTGAACACAGACAACGTGAGCTTGCTCGGGCTTACCCTGGACTACGGGCCTTACGGATTCATGGACTACTACTACCCGCGGATGATTCCCAACACTACTGATGATTTGGGGAGATATTGTTACAAGAACCAACCTGAGGTAAGTCTGCGGGACTATACAGGGTGTTAGGTAAATGGGTATATGAGCCGACACTAGCCCATGTTAACATGGGCATATAAATGGTATGGTGAAGTCAGAAAATTGATATCTTCATTTTAATTATTTTATTTTTCATACAAATCGGACATTATAAAATTAATTTTGTATGAAAATTAAAAAAATTAAAATGATGATATCAAATTTCGGACTTCACCATACCATTTATATGACCATGTTAACATGGGCTAGTGTCGGCTCATATACCCATTTACCTAACACCCTGTATATCCTGTTTCCTATCCTTTTCTACTCCCTACTCATATCCTATCATCTTCATGATAAGTGAGGATGGATGAATATTTTTTGGTTCTCTTTCACGTGAGAACTAGTGAACGGACTATGACGAAATTTTACCTTAATTTTAAATTAATTTTACGATAGGTCGCGCTACGATAGGATCCCAGTCCTAGACAAGAGACGAAACGTGACAGTTGTAATTTCGAAATCCCCCAATATTTTTTTTTGCATGAAAATCTTAATGCTGTTCACAGAATACATCTACTTACCAAGTTTCAACAGTATAGCTCTTATAGTTTCGGAAAAAAATGGCTGTGACATACGGACCGACAGACGGACGGACGGACAGACAGACAGACATGACGAATCTATAAGAGTTCCGTTTTTTGCCATTTGGCTACGGAACCCTAAAAAAATGCTGGAGTGAAGGTCTTCCGAAAACATACATACACTCGAAAAACATAACCCTCCTTCTGGCACAGTCGGGTAAATACAACTTTCACGTTGCCACTTGTCTAGTCAAGAAATATTTGAACATTAAAACTTTTTTCCAGGTCTGCTAGTATAAAAGTAAAATAAAAATTCATAAAATTCATTTATTTTTGCAAATAGGCTTTAAAAAAGCACTTTTACACGTCCCAATATTAACCCTACCACTACTTCGGGACAATAAATGGGCCAGTGCTGAGAAGAAGCAGCGCAAGAAACTCAGTCACTATTGTCAGCCTCCTTTTCAAGGGTTTACAGTCTTTAAAATATACAAATTATAGTCATAAGTATTGATGCGAGCTAGGTAGTTAAACATTCCAATATAATAATGCATTGATTGATTAAAGCCTGGATGCGGGCAGCGCAGGACCGTTCATTGTGGAAAACCTTGGGGGAGGCCTTTGTCCAGCGGTGGACGTCATTTGGCTGAAAAAGAAAGAAGAAGAAGAAGAAAGATTGATTAATCGTTTACAGATAATGCTGTGGAACCTGGAGAAATTCGCAGAGTGCGTTGAACCCCTGCTGACTGACGAGCAGAAGGAAACACTCAAGGGCATCAGGGGGACTCTGGAGAATTACATCAAGCGAAAGGTTTTGTAAGTTTGACAATAATGCTTTATTTTCAACCTTAGGTACACCTGCTGTGGTCCATTGCTGAGCAAAGATCGCCTCTAGCTCCTCCTTTGTATAAAAATTGATGATATAAAATACACGTCCATATTTTCGAAGGTCACACTCCCACAAGATATTGGCAGGAGAATTATACAAAAGAAATTGATGTATTTATTGTAATTTAAACTCAAGCCATCATTGACTGATCTCGTGGTTGACTGGTAGAGAATGCTGTAAGGCAGCAGGTTTTGGCCCGTGAATGTTTTGTAAGTAAATTATTAATATTTAAATACATGCATTAATTAATGTAACCGCGCCGCTAGGGTTAGCATCTCAAGAGTTGCCCACTTTTACTTTAGTTTGCCAACTTGTGGCAAGCCTGCCAAAAGGTTGCCGACCGCTGCTATAAGGCATTCAGTCCGCCAGTTACTTTTCCTTGGCCATTAGTCTAACTAAATAAAAACACAGCATAAACTTACCATATTTTCTTTCGCAACAGAGAGACATTCATCCACAAGTTGGGCCTCGAAGAAGTCAAAGAGGGAGACGACATCCTCGTGCAGGATCTGCTTGAGGTCATGCAGACAGCCACGGCTGACTACACGGCCACCTTCCGGCAGCTGGCTAAGGTAGGCTCGGAACTATTCCCACCACTGCAACTCCTGTGTAGCCAGGATCTACAGTTTGACCCCCACAAAAACCCAACCAATGAAGGTCAAGTTTGTCCCGGGGGAAAGTTAAACTGTCTTGGACCCGCAACGAAATTAATCAGAAGAACATAGGAGGAGGTCGAAATTAAGGTTCGACTTCCCTCCATTGCAAAGGTAGGCTCATCATCATCAGATCATATAATGTCATAGCAGATTTATTTATTTATTATCAACCCGAAAAGGGATCAACTAAAGGACGAATTTACGCCCGTATTCACAAACATTACTATGAGGTCTCACAGTGCGTGTGAATGCACAGGGTGACACACGTAGTAATCACAGAGCTCTATTCAACGCTGTGCGATCGATTTGCTGCTTCACTTAAGCAAGCATCGTTTGTGAATACGGACTTTAGTCTCCATTGCAGGAGTAAGACAGTCTCTAATTAATAGAGGCGAATGGAGGATTTGGACTAAACTCTTCACACTGGCAAGACTGGTTGGAGATGCCTGATGTTCGCATATTTCTTGCTTTAGTCGTCTCTTAGGGTAGGATTAACATTGAAAAGGCAGTCGGAATAGAATTCCCACCAGTCTTTTTTGAGGTTCTCTTGAAATTTAATAACAATGTAAAGTTTGAACTTACTATGTACAGAAACACTGTGAATAAATAACGGGCTCATTATACCATTTATCATAGATATCTAAACTACAAAAAATTTTTAGGTCGACCCTAGCGAATTGATCAACACGTCATCACCGCACTGGTCTCTAAATAAGCTGTCCGAAGCCAAACCGTGGCCGGCGTGGGTGGAGAAATACCAGGCACGGGTCAAGCTTGAAAATGGCAAGTACATATTTCGTGACATTTCATCTTGCAGCCTTTCTGAATTTAATTGCACCCTTTCTTTTCCTCCGTAACTCTGGCGTATTTTTAAGCCACGATAGCCAAACGGTGAAGGAGTCCGAATGGTCAACTCGACATCCAAGGAACGCGGGTTCGAACTCCGCCGCTGCTGAATTATTGTGGTTAACTCAATCGTAACACAAGCACATTTAGCTTAGTACAAGGGTTCACGCAGTGGCGGATTTACCTGCTGAGTATTTAGGCTGAGTAGGCTGAAGCCTAGGGCGGCAGATTTAGTTTATAATTATTTTTTACGTACAAAAAGTAGGTACGTATTTCGGATACGAATATATCAATGTTCGCCAGGCCAGTCAAGATCCAATAACCCCACCCCCAGCGTATCGAAATCGATTATTAAGTAAAAAGAGGCTCAAAATCATGCGCGTATTCTGGGACCCACTACTAGTACTAACTCATTATGCTATGATACTAACCCACCCCCCATGACATGGAATGCCCACCCTGGAAAAAACCCTAGAATACACCAATGCTCAAAATACTCATAAATCGATACATTCGATAAGAAATCGATGTTTTTGAGTGGTTTTCAATCGATACTAGAATAGCAACGTCTGAGATTTGTATATTAATGAATAAATTATGATTTTAGTGGCCGAAGAGGTTCGTCGTAAGCGCATGTTAGCCGTCAACCCGGCGTACGTGCCGCGCAACTGGATATTGCAGGAGGCCATCGCTGATGCTGAGAAGAACGACTTTGAGAAGGTAAACCTTTAACTATCACATAAATATTTTAGTTTGATTCTGTGTTTTGAACCTTATGCTGAAGATATGCAGTTCAAAATCTCAGGAGGCCATAGCTGATTTTAAGAACGTAAACCTTATGGACAACGCATCAAGCTACCACAAAATTACTTATGATTTTGAACCTTGTGCTGAAGATTCGCCAATACTTATATGTGCGATCTAGCGTCATACAGATGCGCCAGTGAGTACTAATTTGCGCGACTGTTGTCACCCCCTGAGGCTTGGCACCCGGGGCGGACCACTGAAACATATCACATTTTCGTTTCAAAATCGCCCCTACCAGTATTTAGTTTGACGTGCCTAAACTGCGTAGTCTTCTGCTGATGTTTGAGCGTTACCGGTACACGCTAATTATTATCCATGAGTGCACACGCACACTACAATAATGACGCTCGGATCAAACTCCCCGCACCCCGCGCGACCGAGACCAAATATTGGTGGGGCGCGTCTTCGTAGATGAAACGATCTTTACGATGTATAACTTGTTTTCCAGGTGCGGTTCCTACTGAAGATCTTCGAGAACCCGTATGAAGAAAACGAGGAAGCGGACAACCGTGGCTACTCCTCGCTACCACCCACCTGGTCCTACGGCCTCAAAATTAACTGCTCCAGCTAAAATAATTAGCTTTTAAGCTTCTATCGAGTACAAAACATTAGATTGTATTGAATTGTAGGTCTACCGAGTCACTTGGTATGAAAGCGGCACGGGAGTTTTTTGTGACGCCAAATCAGCGAGACTTCAGCTGTAGGCCTAAGATGCGCGCCGCGATAAGCGTTTATCACGCCATTTTATCGATTTTCCCCATACATTTTGACGTCGATAAAAGTTATCACAGCGCGCATCTTAGGCCTACTGGGCTAGGTTGTGCGCCGTGACAAAATTTATCGATGATTTTAGAAGACTAATGTATGGTCTTATAGCGAATCGATAAAATGGCGTGATAAAAACTTATCACGGCGCACATTATAAGCCTACAGATGTGCTTCAGACTTGTATGCTCTGTCACGTCATATGTATTATAAATCAACCCCTCCCGCTCCTATTCCTCAGGCATTGACTTAGTTACTCGCTAGATCTATGCTGTCCCCGTAAAATTGTGAATCCCGTCCCCGGGCGCCCGTCGCACAGTCGCGGCAGCAATATAATTACTCGCGAGCGATAAGGATGGGTAGCTTGGGGTCATTGGACAAAATTCTACGTGCTCACAGACTGGGCTTTAGTATTTGTAAATAAGTAATATCTGAGATATACTGTAAATCGTAGGTTAGGTTAGATTAAATTTAACTATGTAACTGATGGAGTTAATATTTTTATGGTGACGAACATATCAAACTATTTCAGGTTCTCCATAACACAGTTTACCATATTTACTAGTCATTCCATAGAATATAGATACAAGGCATTCATAATGTCTCATGATTAAGGAGTTTAACTTCGCGAGACGTATAGGTACGATTTTGCTGTTATGTTCGGTGTTACATCGACAATAAAAATATTATTTGACAATAGCAGATGAATTTCATGAAATGAATTAGGTTAGTTTTTAGCTTCAAGCATTTTGTTACTTTAATTTTAAGCACAAAACGTTATTGTTTAAGAAAATATACTATTTATATTGTGTAATAATCAGTTTTTTATTTACAAACAAAAACAATAATCATTTACATTTTACCACAATGTTTCAGTTAAATATTTACAATAAAAATTGAACTTAATTTCTCTCTTAACACAATATAAAATGAGTATAGTTATTCATAATCTTCATCAGCACTATCATCTGGTTCTGAGTAGTCCTCATCGATTTCAATCTTGCGTTTTTTCTTCACTTGAACATTCTCTTTGTCTTCTTCCGGGCTTTCTTCAGTTGCAGCCTCAGTCTCTGCTGAACGATGGTGAAAAACAAATGATATTGTTTTGGCCAAATCCCAACATTGCTTCAAAACCAAGTCTGCTAAGCTTTTCTTGTCGGCACAGTGGTACCAATTTGACAAGTCCGAAGTGCAATCAGAATTTGCAGGCGGAAGCGTAACTTGTATATTATTCACGCATCTGCGACATTTGAATTTGCTGTGTGTGTCTGAAAGAGTGTTTTCCTCCAACCGGAAAAGGTCTTTCAAGTCATCCGATGTGAAATGTCGCAAGGATTCCTCGTTTTGGTCCACCACTGTGTCGCTAAGCGCTTTCTTGTGCGCTTGCCTCTGGAAAATCTTTTCTTCAATAGTTCCTGTTGCCAGTAACCGGTAGATGTAACATGGTTTCTTTTGGCCGTCGCGCCAGACTCTCGCCATGGCTTGGTCGTCATTTGCCGGGTTCCAGTCAGGGTCAAACATGATGAGGCGATTCGCCCCAATGAGATTCAGACCACATCCACCAGCCTTGGAACTCAGCATGAATATCCATTCTTTAGAATCTTTATTATTGAAGCTCTCTACAACTTTGGCTCTTTTCTTTATAGTCATGGAACCATCTAGCCTCACATATTGATAACAACGTTTCCTGCATAGTTTCTCAAACAAGTCCAGTGTTTGAGTGTAGTTAGAGACCAGAACTATCTTGTCATCCGTGTTAGTTTTCAGGTTAGCCAGTATGCAGTCCAGGATCATCAGTTTTCCAGAATATTCAGGCTTAACATCTTTGATGTCATAGTGACTAGGTAGCAAATCCAGTGCCTTCTCAAAGCCTTCAGACCGCTCTACGATTTTATCGTAAACCAAGTCAGGGTGGTTGCACAGTTTCTTTAAAGTTGTTATACTGGATAGAGCACTGAGTGTGTTTTTGTCTCCAGTACCAGTAAATTTGTTACGAATAGCATCTGAATTGATGAAATTCTTGTACAGTTGTGTCTGAAGTGGAGTCATTTTAACACAAATGACCTGTTCAAACTTGACCGGCAAGTATTTTGTGAGCAAGCTGCTTGTCCTTCGAATCATGCATTTATTGACAATGCCAGTGAGAGTTTGAAGGCATTCTTGGGCTCTTTCTCTCTCTTGTTCACTTGCCAAAGCATCTTGACCCTTCAGGATAGGGTTTTCATACCTCTTTTTGAATTCTTGGGCAGTGCCAAGTATGCCTTCATTGACAAAGTGTACCAGACTGAAGTACTCAGTCAAATCATTCTGAATTGGAGTTCCTGAAATGAGGATTCGCCGTTTGGCCTTCAAACCCATTAGAGCTTGGTATGTTTGATTCTCACTGTTCTTCAATCTGTGGCCCTCATCACAGAGGACCAAACCAACTTCAGATGAGTGCAATATGTTTGAGTATATCCTGAAAGTTTCATATGAGATTATCAAAACTGGTGTGGCCACTCTTGTGGCTGAGTATGTGTTCATAAATTGTTGTAATTTCAGTGTTATCTCTGCTTTTGACCCACCATCCATGGGCAAGGCATTGATCCTCTGTCCCAGCCATTTGTGGATCTCATTGTACCAGTTCTTGACCAGACTGCTTGGGCAAACAATAATTGCTTTGCATATTGTTGGCTTGCACTCTGGCCCTTGCCTCAATAATGTCCACAGCAAAGTTATGCACTGTAAGGTCTTGCCCAAACCCATTTCATCAGCCATGATGCACCCATAAGCGTTCTCAATCTGTTTCCCGGTCACACAGTCGTACATAAAAGTTACCCCTTCCCTTTGATGAGGTCTTAGTATGTTTCCAAGGACGGGGTCGACGACAACAGCTACTTGAATGTCCTTAGGGTTCATTTTCATCTTTTCGTGTTCAGGAATATACGGCGGCCGGAACAAAACCAGCGCATTAGGCTCGTCGGGATCATGAAGGGCACGTCGCACTTGACTGCGTTTTAAACCAAGACTTTTGCTGCAGTACGACGAGACGTAGTTTGGAATGGGTACCTTGAAAGGCTTACTCAGGATCTGCTTGATCAAATTTTCGTGCTCCGAAGTAGACATAGATTGAGAAGCAGTTTTCTGCGTAAGTGGGATTTTTGTGCATTCCCGCCTTTTGCGTTTAGCCGAATTCAGCAAAGGACTTTTGAAGACGTGGTCCCCTGAGCCAGTCTGGCTCGGCGCAAGGCTGCGCCTCATTTTAAAAGATTACGATCACAACATAAAGGTCTAAAGTTTATTTACAATTCAAAAATCTTCGGCACAAAATGGACCAAACAAACAAAACCACTCACTGACATTGAATTGACAGCTAATTTTGACAATTTTGACACGTCGAAACAGTGTTGTTCCTGACAAATTTAGGGTTGCCGTATTCTAATTCTAAAATTGCCGGATTTTTAAGGAAAACTAAGAAAATTGCCGTATTGCATAAAATGTTTATTTGAAAGGTTTAAATTTAAAAAAATACAAGTGATGTATTTAGTACTATGCGTATACTACTTTTAAACTAACTTATTTTATTCTTCATTTTTTAAGGTTATGAATAATTTAGTCCAAGAACCTACCCGAATAAAAGTGAAGAATCTACCAAAATGAGGAAATAACGATTTTAGACATTAAAATCTCGGAGATAAGGTTGCATTTTTGGCGTTCCTTTTCGTGGCGCTTCTACTTCATCTATGGTTTACAAGTTTTTGCGTTCCATTAGACGAAATATTTATTTTTTGTTTACTAAAACTCATGAAAAACTCATAAAACTGTACTTTACTCAATTGCCGTATATTTTGATACGGTAATCAAAGTGCTGCCGTATACCGTATTTCTGGTGCCTAAGATGCCTAAATGCCGTATATTACGGCAATTGCCGTATCAAGAACAACACTGCGTCGAAACTTGCTTTGTTTACCGGTATTCCGTCCGTAATCCGTATCAAAAGAACCGTTTGACGATACGATACTATACGATTAGTAAAAGTATTGTAGTTAGTAATCTGTGGTAACCGGTTTTAAAATTTTAAAAAATAAGTTGACAGATTTCGCTTTTGCTACCAGTGTTGCCAGAAGGTTACTTTTGTAACCTTTTTGGTTACTTTTGAACTGCTGTGGTTACTTTTAGGTTACACTAATGAAAAGGTTACTTTTAGGTGATTTTTGAGAAATTGTAGAAATAACTTTACAGGTTATTCAGTATATTAGTGACAGTATAAAAATTATGTCATAAAGTGTTCATGAAGAAGGAACAAGATGAACTTGTTCCACTAACAACGATCACGGTCACGTTTGTAGGAACCATACTTCCTCAATATATTTATTTAGACAATTGGCGTTATAAAGTTTTCAAATACGTGCCTCCTCNGTTGTTCATGGATGGAAAATGAAACATTTCATGGATTTGCGTTTCGCTATCGAAAAACAAAACATTCGCTAGAACTCTTTTTTTTAACAAATAAATCAAATTCATGTTTAAATGCAGTTTATGACATATAGTCCAATCAACGAGGCGTTTGTAACCCGAATAATTTGTCCGTCAATGAAACTTGGTAATCCAATAGATTTTCCTTTACTATGTTATAGTTCTTATTTTTACGTAATTACGTCGTGTGAATAATTGCTCCGTCCATTTTTATACATCTATTGGCCATTTGATAATATATTAAAACAGATTTATCAATAATCCAACAAATTTTCGAACGTTAACTATACTTTTAATGATATAATGCACGCGGGCAATGTAGTTCGCGGGCTAAAGTCAGCGATACGCTCTTATTACTACTCCCGTAAGGTTGACATTTCAAGTAACAGAAGGTAGACGCGTATCCATAGCGAGTTTTTCACCATACGCCTTAATTTTAAGTAAGTATTTGGTTTAATTATGTACTAACATAGCGATTGTAGTAGGTACCTAGATAATCGACATACCTAAATATTAAACAAGCTTATTTCACGTAATTACTTAAATTCTATTTACACTTATTTACCTCTCTTAAAAATAACACTGGGTGATTAAATTTTATCAAAATTACAAACTAAACATGCATTGTCCTTTTGACAATGCATGTTTAGTCTGTAATACTTATACTTTTGACATAAAAACATAAAGTTATTATTCCTTCCTTCCAAAAACGGTTCTGTTTGACGTGACGGTGACGGCATCACGCATCTCTTTTTATTACACCAATTTGCTGCTAGTGACATCTCGCTCGCTCAGTCATTTGTTGCTCTATTCTAGCTAGGTAGGTGTAATAAAAAACCTAAACTTTATGCATGCATAAATACAATGAAATAAAAACTTATCTTAACAAAACACACGTCATAGGTATTCAAAAACCATTTTATAGCCGATATTCAATGAATTTAGTTTCGTATCGCTGAGTATTGCAATTTGAGGGTTCGATTGCTATAATTATTTGCATGTAACATTTTTGGAACTTTACATACTGTTCACGACGACTACGAATTCTTCCCGCAGAACCCTAATAAACATAAAGAAACCGCAGCAAATACATATACGCACTTATTATAGCTATCTGGGGGCACGGCAGTGCCCCCACCAAGTCGAGCAAAAAAGCGGCACGGCCGTACCATCCTTTTCTCGAAGCAATTCAGGCCATTTTCGACCGCCTGTAACTTCGTTGTGGATAAAACTAGAAGGCTGAATTTTCATTAGCTATGCAGGCATTGTAAAGACACGGTATATTTAAAATTTCATTCAATTTGAACCAGTAGTTTAAGAATTATAACGGGTCAAAGTTACTTAATTTTGTCACTCACTGACTCACTAATAAGAGTGTATCGCTGACTTTAGTCCGCGAACTACATTGCCCGCGTGCATTATATCATTAAAAGTATAGTTAACGTTCGAAAATTTGTTGGATTATTGATAAATCTGTTTTAATATATTATCAAATGGCCAATAGATGTATTAAAATTGACGGAGCAATTATTCACACGACGTAATTACGTAAAAATAAGAACTATAATATAGTAAAGGAAAATCTATTGGATTACTGTGAAAAGCTATGTATTTGAACATATAAAAGCGTATTAAAAAATAAAAATAGGCAGAGCAATTTTTCAGTAGAAGTTATAGTGCAAAATGTTAAAAGTTAAATTTCAGGTATCTCTGAAATCGAAAAAGTGTTGGATTCTTTTACATACATATTCTAAGTAGTACATAGGTACGTATACAGAAAGAATTTCAGGCTGAGAATTTTTACACAGAGAGTTATTAACGATTTTCATGTTTAGGTCAAAAAACATAACTTCCCAAAAAAAATATTGTTGGATTTTTGCATATCTCTGATCTATATTACCTACTTTCACCATGTGCCAAGTTTCATTGACGGACGAATTATTCGGATGTCTCCATACAACGAATCTCCTCGTTGATTGGACTAATAATTTTTAAATTGTCGCTATTAATATTTTTTACTGAATAACCTGTAAAAGTTAATTCTACAATTTCTGAAAAATCACCTAAAAGTAACCTTTTCATTAGTGTAACCTAAAAGTAACCATAGCAGTTCAAAAGTAACCTAAAAGGTTACAAAAGTAACCTTCTGGCAACACTGGCTAATTTTGACAATTTTGACATGTCGAAACTTGCTTTGTTTACCGGTATTCCGTCCGTATCAAAAGTACCGTTTGACGATACGATACCATACGATACTATACGATTAGTAAAAGTATTGTGGTTAGTAATCTGTGGCAACCGGTTTTAAAAAATAAGTTGACAGATTTTGCTTTTGCTACATTTTTCTTGTGTTTCTTTTTTGGATCCATCGTGGCTGGCTGTAAAGTTTTTAACGTTTACTCATGCTAGCGTCGCAATTTATTTACATTTTCAAGTGCTTTGTATGATTATTGATCAAAATGAGTGCGTGGCCGGAGGTATCGACAGCAAAGTCGGAAAACAGACATGAAATCAAATTGGCGGGCTCCAACGTCTCCAAACGGATTTCTGAAGGTGGTTTGGACAAGAATTTGTTTCAATTGACGAGCTTGAACCTGCTGAACATCAGTGATACGTGCTTGTCATCGATTCCTGATGAAATAAAGCTGCTTTCAAACTTGCAGTCATTACTTTTATTCGGAAACCAGTTAGCGGTTTTCAATGAAAACATAACCTCGCTGTCGAAATTAAAAGTGCTAGATTTGTCAAGAAACCAGATTACGAGCATTCCTGAGTCGTTGAATAAGATGAAAGAGTTGACAAGTATAAATTTTAGTTCGAATCATATCGATAGTATGCCTAAATTAGGGGATTTTCCCAATTTGATTATGGTGGACATATCCAACAACAAACTGACTGCTTTCTTGGATATAGAAAACGCTAACTTGCCCCACCTCACGGATTTGAAGCTCAAAAGCAATGCTATTGAGAGTCTGCCAAGCTATGTGGCTCGTAATCTGCCATCTCTGAAGAATTTTGATATCGGAGAAAACCAACTCAAGGTTATTCCTGGAGAAGTAGCTACCATGTCTAAATTGAAAGGTAAAATGAATTTGAAATCAATTTATTTATAACCTAACACATGTATTGAAAGATTTGTATTTACATAGCTTTTTGATCTTGATACTGTAATTGTTGTGCAATATACATGACTTTATTGATTTCATAATATTGTATGTGTTTGCATCTTCTAATGTGAATGGTATAAACATGTGATTATACCATACTTGGCACTTGCTTTCATATTATTTGAATGCCAATTTTTTTTCCAATTGGATTCTAATGAGAATTTGTTACGTTTTCAGAACTAAATCTAAAAGGAAACAAGCTATCCGACAAAAGACTGATGAAACTAGTCGACCAGTGCCGCACCAAGCAAATTCTGGACTACATCCGCGACCACTGCCCCAAACTGGACCAATCCCAACCAGCACAGGGCAAGGGCAAAGGCAAGAAAGCCAAAAAGCAGGACGAACCTCCACCGGACGATAACGTCTGCGATCTATGCCATTCGATGAAAATCTTACACGTTGAAGACGACACTCTCAAAGTTAAGATTGTTGAATCTGAAGTTAGCGGTGTCCGTCCATATATTGTGTGCTGTATCGTTAACGATTTGCACTTCACGGAGGCATCGTTTAAGAAGTTCATTCAAATGCAAACGAAGCTTCATGACACAATCTGTGATAAGAGAAATGTGGCCACCATTGCTACTCATGACCTGAACAAAATTGCTCCAGGTATGTTACTTTACCACAAAGTGTACAGTATTATTTTAGACAATTAAAAAAAGTCTCCCTTTTGTAGTATTAAACTTACGTTATTTAATTTCAAAATTATTTAATTTCACTTTTAGATTACAACTGCATTGTTGCATTGACAAAATCTTTTAGCATACACTATATGTACAAAAAAATACTTTACATATTGACCCCTTTACATAAGTTACAATGTATTGAATACTTGTTTAAAGTGACATTTACTATGGATAACTATGTCATTTTTAACCATTGTTCCAAACCTGTGTAACTGTAAGGGGGTTACAAATGAGACAAATACTTAATTGTCCACAGGAGACCTACTGTACACTGCCAAAGCTCCCTCCGCGTTATCCCTGACTCCGCTGTCCCGACTGAAGCCCTACACCGGAGAGCAGCTGTTCCAGCAGCTTACGGCTGAGGCCGATGCCCTGAGGAAGGAGAAGAAGAGAAATGTGTACTCTGGGATCCACAAGTAAGCTATTATTAAGCTTTTAAAGTCCAGTCGCCGAGCAGATAGAATTTCGTCCAATGACCCCAAGCTACCCATCCTTATCGCTCGCGCGTAATTATATTGCTGTCGCGACGGGCGGCCGCAGTGAATGTGCGAGCGCGACAGCAATAAAAATACGCGCGAGCGACAAGGATGGGTAGCTTGGGGTCATTGGACGAAATTCTATCTGCTCGGCGACCTGACTTTAGTTATAGTATTTCAGTTCCATGTATGCGTGTTTGTCTTGTTGGTTGTGCTAATAAATAAAATAATAAATGTCTTCACAGAAGTAAGTGTTGAATACTTCTTTAGTTATCTGTCTACTTTGTTTATGAAGGCAAAGTACTTATTTTCGATTTATTTGTTGTTTTTTTTAAAATAGGTATTTGTATGTTTTTATAAGTTGACCCATTATTTGGACGAATTATAAAAGCATGTTAGATATTTTAGTTGTAATCACAATTCTCAAGTAGCATGGTGCTAACTTTTATCTGCTATCGTAAATATATGTTCGAATTCGTCGAATCATTGCTTTGTGTACGTTACGTTATCCCTCAGCAATTTAGCTTTCAAGATAGCCGAGTGTCATCTGTGTAATGTTTATTGTTCAGGTACTTGTACCTCCTGGAAGGCAAGCCCAAGTACCCCTGTCTGGAGGATGCAAGCGGCCGCGTCATCAGCTTCCCGCCGATCACCAACTCTGAAGTTACCAAGGTAAAATGAAAGTTAACAATTTGAAACTTCTTCTTTTCGTGTCGACTACAAACCTACACAGTGTCAGCCCAAAACTCCGCCACAAGAGTGGCGTTGTCAGTAGCGCTCATCAAATCCTCCTGAGTGCAGTTGCTTGGGCACTCAGGGCACGAAATTACGGCACGGCATTATTTGAAACTAATATATTTTTTTTATGCACAAGGCAGGTATTTGACCACAATCGCACCTGATGTTAAATATTGTATTACTTAGGCTTACTCAGCCTCGAACTTAGCGGGCAGCGGGGCGGGAGCGGCGGCGGCGCTGGAGCGGGGCGGGCAACGCAGACCCGTTCTCGAAACAAGCGGGCAGCTCGCGCGGCGCTTTAGCGGCGAAGTGTTGTGTTCAGGGTTGTGTTGTCGAGATATTTGTTTTTATTCGCAAACGAAATGTCTGAACAACGGCGACAATTTTATTTCGATTCAAATTTATTCCTAAGGCCTCAGCCTCGAACTTAGCGGGCAGCGGGGCGGGAGCGGCGGCGGCGCGACAGCGGCAGGATCTTATGCGTGAAATCAAATAGACCGGTTCTCGAAAACAGCGGCGCGGCAGCGGCGCCGGAGCGGGCAACGAGCGGGCAGCGAGCGGGCAGCTCGCGCGGCGCTTTAGCGGCGAAGTGTTGTGTTCGGGGTTGTGTTGTCGAGATATTTGTTTTTATTCGCAAACGAAATGTCTGAACAACGGCGACAATTTTATTTCGATTCAAATTTATTCCTAACGCTCGATTTATTGTGGGCAAAAGAAGGAGTGCGCTGCCCGCTCGTTGCCCGCTCCCTTGCCGCTGCCCGCTCGTTGCCCGCTGCCGCCCCGCTGCCGCGCCGCTGTTTTCGAGAACCGGTCTATTTGATTTTACGCATAAGATCCTACCGCTCCCGCGCCGCCGCCGCCGCCGCCCCGCTGCCCGCTAAGATCGAGACTGAGGCCTTAAAGCGACGGTTCGCGCCGCGACAATCACAAACATGCGAACGAAACGGGAGACCACAACCGCTGGACTAAGCTCTGCTCTGTTGGACATAGGCCTCTCTCAAGGATTTCCATAACGGCCGGTCCTGCGGTGCACGCATTCAGGTTCTTCCAGCGACCTTCACCAGATCGTCTGTCCACCTAAGTGGGTGCCTGTACACACTACGTCTTTCAGCCTGTGGTCGCCAGTTCGCCACTCGAGAAGTTATGCCCCAACGGCTATCATCTCTACGAGTTATGTGCCCGAAATGTGAGCTAAAATATGTATTTATTGTTAACCCACAGATGTCGCACGAAAGCAAGGCCATGCTTGTAGAAGTGACAGCACATGGCTCGCTGGGCGCGTGCCGCAGCGTCCTCAACAAGTTTCTACAAGAAGCTTTGCTGCTGGGGATAGGAGACAGCCAGGAGTCCGGCTACCACACGCTCACTGTGCAGCAGGTGAGGCGACCTTAGCGCAGCATTCTCCGCCAGCTAGCGAGGCTATGCTGGTAGCAGTGACAGCACACGGCTCGCTGGACAGTGGACAGCCAGGAGTCCGGCTACCACACGCTCACTGTGCAGCAGGTGAGGCGACCTTAGCGCAGCATTCTCCGCCAGCTAGCGAGGCCATGCTGGTAGCAGTGACAGCACACGGCTCGCTGGACAGCCAGTAGTCCGGCTATCACACGCTCACTGTGCAGCAGGTGAGGTAACCTTAGCGCAGCATTCTCCGNTGAATTTTAAAAAATGGTCACGTTTGTTATTTCCATTCCTGTCTCTATTAATGCTTCATTCGAGCGCGTATTCACCGTGATGGAGCAACTATGGAGCAAGCCCCCCCCCCCCACAATTCTCCCGGGTTGGTCCTTTCAAGAGTTGGCAACCCTACTTCTAACCAATGTGATTATGCCATACTTGGCACTTGCCTTCATATAAATGAATTGCATTTTTTTCCAATTGGATTCTAATGAGAATTTGATACGTTTTCAGAACTAAATCTAAAAGGAAACAAGCTATCCGACAAAAGACTGATGAAACTAGTCGACCAATGCCGCACCAAGCAAGTCCTGGATTACATCCGCGACCATTGCCCCAAACTGGACCAATCTCAGCCAGCACAGGGCAAAGGCAAAGGCAAGAAAGCCAAAAAGCAGGACGAACCTCCACCGGACGACAACGTCTGCGATCTATGCCATTCGATGAAAATCTTACACGTTGAAGACGACACTCTCAAAGTGAAGATTGTAGAATCCGAAGTTAGCGGTGTCCGTCCATATATTGTGTGCTGTATTGTTAACGATTTACACTTCACGGAGGCATCGTTTAAGAAGTTCATTCAAATGCAAACGAAGCTTCATGACACTATCTGTGATAAGAGAAACGTGGCTACCATTGCTACTCATGACCTGAATAAAATTGCTCCAGGTATGTTACTTTACCACAAAGTGTACAGTATTATTTTAGACAATTAAAAAAAAGTCTCCCTTTTGTAGATACAAGTTACTTGATTTCTATGCGGGTAATTCAAAATTAAACTCACATTATTTAATTTCAAAATTATTTAATTTCACTTTTAGATTACAACTGCATTGTTGCATTGTTCACAACAATCGACAAAATATTTTAACATACACCATAAGTACAAAAAAATACTTTACATATTGACTCCTTTACATAAAAATTGCAATGTATTGAATTCTTGTTTAAAGTGACATTTACTATGGATAACTACACTGGTCATCACAAAAATCGGCCCACCTACGTTTTACAGGAAAACTCGTTTCTACTGACACAATCATGGTGCTCCAACAACATTGGTGTTATTTGAAAGCCCAATAAATAATTATCCTTAAAGAAAAACACATTTAATTTCCTAATAAACGATTAACATATACAATAAATGTGACTTGAAAAACTTGAAAAAAGACCTCACTTTGGGCTCACCTCTGGGATCAATTAGACCAATTTTTATGGTTATAAAACCAAATAATGGTCTCACATGTCCTCTTTAACAGATGGATAGCGATTAATCCCAACTTAACAGTTTTATAGTCATAAAAGTTGGCTCAAGCGTAACTACCTATTTTTTGAAGAAGTGACTCTGGATTCTTCTACAGACACATTTTTGGGGTAAAAACCTTTCCTTTAATGAAATGAAGTTTAGAGCTAGGCTTTTAAATGGTAATATAGTATAGTAATATTGGTGGGAAGTGGGGATGCATACGTTTAAAAGTGCTTGTCGCGGGTGGGTCGATTTTTATGATGACCAGTGTATGTCATTTTTAACCATTGTTCCAACCTGTGTAACTGTAAGGGAGTTAGAAATGAGACAAACACTTTAATGTCTACAGGAGATCTACTGTACACTGCCAAAGCACCCTCCGCTTTATCCCTGACTCCGCTGTCTCGGCTGAAGCCCTACACCGGAGAGCAGCTGTTCCAGCAGCTTACGGCTGAGGCCGACGCCCTGAGGAAGGAGAAGAAGAGAAATGTGTACTCTGGGATCCACAAGTAAGTATGATTAAAACAAAAATAATATAGGTTGAATATAAAATATTGTGTAGGCATTGATAGTTAACTTGTGAAGGCAACATAAAAAGTTATTTATTGTCTGCAAGTAGGCTTTTAAAAAGAGTCTTTCCTTTTTTTTTCTATATGCCTTGTTTTTTTGGATAATGATGGTGTACTTTTATCTGCTGTTGTCTGTAAATGGGCGCTTCAGCTTCAGTCTTCTTCTCAGCACTTGCCAAATGTTTGTCTTGAAGCACTGATAGGGCAAAAAAAGAATGAGACATGTATCCTTAAGAGCATTTGATGATTTGTAAGTACTAATTTAATTAGTCTACACAAATAAAGATAATTTTGATTTTACAATCTGCAATTCGCAGCACTGTGTGAGTCGACCCTTATCTAGCGGCGTCTAGTCGCCGCGATCGTCGCTCAGTGTGCGCTGTCGCTTAGTTGGCAATTTAGCTTTCAAAATGGCGGAGTGTAATGTAATATATTTATTGTTCAGGTACTTGTACCTCCTGGAAGGCAAGCCCAAATACCCCTGTCTGGAGGATGCAAGCGGCCGAGTCATCAGCTTCCCGCCGATCACCAACTCTGAAGTTACCAAGGTAAAATGAAAATTAACAATTTGAAACTTCTTCTTTTCGTGTCGACTACAAACCTACACAGTGTCAGCCCAAAACTCCGCCACAAGAGTGGCGTTGTCAGTAGCACTCATCAATTCCTCCTGAGTGCAGTTGCTAGGGCACTCAGGGCACGACATCATTTGAAACTAATAAAAATATTGTATTGCTTAAAGCGACGGTTCGCGCCGCGATAATAACCAACATGCGAACGAAACGGAAGACCACAACCGCTGGACTAAGCTCTGTACTGCTGGAAAAAGTCCTCACCCAAGGATTTCTATAACGACCGGTCCTGCGCCCGCATTCAGTTTCTTCCAGCGACCTTCACCAGATCGTCGGTCCACCTAGTGGGGGGCCTACCCACGCTACGTCTTTCAGCCTGTGGTCGCCAGTTCGCCACTCGAGAAGTTATCTGCCCCAACGGCTATCATCTCTACGAGTTATGTGCCTGAAATGTGAGCTAAAATATGTATTGATTGTTAACCAACAGATGTCGCACGAAAGCAAGGCCATGCTTGTAGAAGTGACAGCACATGGCTCGCTGGGCGCGTGCCGCAGCGTCCTCAACAAGTTTCTACAAGAAGCTTTGCTGCTGGGGATCGGAGACAGCCAGGAGTCCGGCTACCACACGCTCACTGTACAGCAGGTGAGGCAACCTTAGCGCAGCATTCTCCGCCGCTGGCTATGCTGGTAGCAGTGACAGACAGCACACGGCTCGCTGGACAGCCAGGAGTCCGGCTACCACACGCTCACTGTGCAGCAGGTGAGAGGCGACCTTAGCGCAGCATCCTCCGCCAGCTAGCAAGGTCATGGAACCTTAGCGCAGCATCCTCCGCCAGCTAGCTAGGCCATGCTGGTAGCAGTGACAGACAGCACACGGCTCGCTGGACAGCCAGGAGTCCGGCTACCACACGCTCACTGTACAGCAGGTGAGGCAACCTTAGCGCAGCATTCTCCGCCAGCTAGCGAGGCTATGCTGGTAGAAGTGACAGCTCATGGCTCGCTAGGCGCGTGCCGCAGCGTCCTCAACAAGTTTCTACAAGAAGCTTTGCTGCTGGGGATAGGAGACAGCCAGGAGTCCGGCTACCACACGCTCACTGTGCAGCAGGTGAGAGGCAACCTTAGCGCAGCATTCTCCGCCAGCTACCAAGGCCATATTAGTAGCAGTGACAGCACGCAGCGTCCTCGACAAGTTCCTGCAAGAAGCCCTGCTGCTGGGGATAGGAGACAGCCAGGAGTCCGGCTACCACACGCTCACTGTACAGCAGGTGAGGCGACCTTAGCGCAGCATTCTCCGCCAGCTACCGAGGCCATGCTGGTAGCAGTGACAGACAGCACACTAATTACTCCAGTGTAATGTGCGCACTGCCATAAATGCTCGACTAAGCTATCGGCCGATAAAAAATCTGTGGTCTGCGCCTAGACTTGCGCAGACCAGACTAGCAGACACTAGTCTGACTAGCGCAGACACCAAACCGGTGTAGTGTGCGCACTTCCAAACATGTTCATGTTGCAGTCAAAACTCTAATCGATAAACTGATGCCCTTGGTCAATATCACTTTTGACTGTTTTTTCCAGACAAAAGTGGTTTTGACTGATTTTTGCAGTCAAAAGTGGTTTTGATTGACCGATTATGAGTTTTGACTGTAACATTCACACTGATTAACAGCCCGACCCAACTATCGGCCGACTAAAAGTCGGTGGTATGCGGGGTATCTTAGGTGGCCAGGGCAACTATAAAGGCCGCTCGGTAGAAACTAAAGTTAAGCTTTGGATTGATTTTCCTATGGAAAACTTACTGTGAGCATAGAAGCTCTGATAATCCTGATGGTGTTCTCTCGGTCGATTTGGAGGTATCAAAGTGATTATGTATGAAATAAGGGAAAAAATTCTGGATATCTAAAAACTTTACCAACATAATTTGATCTTTCCTCCAATAAAATAAGACTCAAAAACCCATGCAAATGTTTAAAACGATTCTCTCTTACAGGTCAAGATAGTGGACCTAGAAGGCAACCTGAAGAGCGTCTACCCCTCCCGAACCGACTGCGGTTTCGAGGACTCCACCGACGTGAAGGTCTACCGGCTGCCAAAGAAGTAATCATTACCATTACCTACCATTACTTTAGTAGTCTCTTGCGACGTGATCTTGTTTAAAAAAACGACCAAGCACCAGCGATGACATGAAATAAGTCAGCTCCCTGGACAAAGTAACATTCGTGACAGCAGACTTACTCTAACACAAACATTACTTGAATTTTTCACAGTGCACGTGGACGCACAGGGTCCCAAAACCTATTCATAGACAATACTCCAGTGGCCGAGTGACACACTATTCAACGCTTTCGACTTTCCATAGCGTTACTGCTTCACTTAAGCAAGCATTGTATGTGAAATTGTGAATACGGGTGTGAAATGCTATATTTACGTAGTTCCGTCTATCTGTCACCGTCGCTCATGTTGGTATTTCGCTATGCGTGAGAAGGATGACGACATTCGAAACATTGGATAACGTTTTTCGGATTGACCCTGCTGATTCCACAGATTTATTAAGAGTTATCGATGAATACTTAACAGATGGTATTACTGGCGACTGGCTAACTATTCTACAGTGGCCCCATCCTGGTGGATGCAAATCGTCGCTTAAGTTTTATCACCGCGTAAGTAATTTTTTGGCGGTTTTGGCGTGTTGATGCCATTCGCTAGAGAATCGAAAGACGCGTCGTTTCGTCCAATTCTGAATAGTTGCTAAAAATGACTTACGTGGTGATAGAACTTAAACGGCGAAATGCGATAGTACTACGCTTCAACGCTCACCAGTAGTTGGCGCCACTGTCTTAGCCACTTGCGATTGACAGGACTTTACAGTGGCGCCAACTGGTGAGGGAAATAGTAATCATGAGTCTTACTTTGTCTAGGTAGCAGTAAGGCCAACTAACTGCCTCAACTAAGTATTTAAAGTTATTCTGAAATGGATTCTGTGTACTAACAATTTGGGGCTGGAAAAATAAGTTCGCGAAATTGTATACGCTGACAAAATTCGTATGGTAAACTCGGAACCTACGCGGTTCAGAGATTAAAAGAAATCATTTATGTATAAATTAATAACCATTCGTTTGATACTCTGGAGTAAAACTTCATTACTATTGTATTCAATGTTTAGCTAGTGTATAAAATTTCGGGCCATTGGTAACGCCCCAGTAAAGGAATATCCATATAGCCATGTAGCGTTGGACGAACTATGAAGTGGCTATTTGAAAATCATCTTTACTTTATAAGTAGCGCAAACGCCCCACGCACGCTGCCAGTCAATGTGAATACACCTTAATACCAGTGTAAAATATGTCCTTTAACGTTGCCAAAACCGGCCCCGTCTTGTGAATTTCATTAAAAATATCAACTTTTTATAAAACTCGTTAACATAATGCCTTATTTATACGTACTTTCATATCGGTTGCACATGACGTTTGAGTATTAGTTTATTACTTTCTAGTATATTTATAATGTTCTGGAAAATAAAGAAATCTTCAAATGATACAGGATGTAATGCCAAAAAATGAATCAACAAATCACAGTTTAAGTTTGGGAAAGTCTTTTTTATTTAACTTTAAACCTTATGGCGCAAGTACACTGCGGAAAATTACCGAGACGAAGCGCTATATCGCACACCAAAGTATGGGCGACGCACAGGTGGGGCAAGGAGAAATTAACCGAGATGGTGTTCACACTATTATGTTTCGGCCAATTTCACGCATAGTGTAACTGCGCCATTTCTATCTTGGCCAAGCCATTTAGTTCAGAAGTGACATTCCGATCTTTATTCAATAAAGGAATTCAGGAATTACTTTTAAAACTTACTTTATATTGTCTTTTGTGTGCCTTAAATTCTACTTAGAATAAAACACTTCAAATTGGTTGCAAATTAACACGTTCGCGGTAGTTTGTAAATTATTTTGTAAGAAAATAATAAACATTCAATAACTAGTATTAACATAGTTTTCGATGATACAATTTTTTTTGCGCAAATTTTCACAATCGGGATGATGCTTCGGTAATGAAATATAAATTCTATTTAGCCCTCCTGGCGACAGTTAATTAAAAATATGGGACACTTTTACCATCTGTCTGACGGACAAACGATTTAAATTTTGTCATCTAGCCTAGGGTTTCCCAATTTTTTTTTGCCAAGGAACCCTAATTGATTATACTTTTCCTAGCGGAACCCCCGTACTACTCCGCCCGCACGCTCTGCCCCTCCCTTGTGCGTAAACAAGTCGGTGCGAGCGAACAACGTCGGTCACGAAACGTGGGCAGGCCTGGCTCACTCCGCGCGGTACATCCGATAATTACCTACAGCGAAGCGCCCCGCCGGCGGGTATTATATCAGTCGAGTGTCACGCGCGCGCTCGTCAAGACGCTGGCGTGCGTTGTAGTACGTACCTAATTCTATGATCGAAGTATTTAAAAATGGACATAAAGAGAAAGAAATATTGTGCGGCGTTCGGGNTAGCCCTCATTTCTCACAGTGCACGTGGACGCACATGGTTCCAAAAACCTATTCATAGACTTGAGTGGCCGAGTGACACACACGAACCAATCACGGAGTTCTTTCAACGCTGTGCGTTAGAACTCCCATAGCGTTGCTGCTTCACTTAAGCAAGCATTGTATGAAAAGTGAAATTGTGAATACGGGTGTGAAATGCTATATTTACGTAGTTCCGTCTATCTGTCATCGTCGCTCATGTTGGTATTTCGCTTTACGTGAGAGGGATGGCGACATTCGAAACTTTGGATAACGTTTTTCGGATTGACCCTGCTGATTCCACAGATTTTGAATACTTAACAGGTGGTATTACTGCGGACTGGTTAACTTTATTCTACAGTAGCGCCATCCTGGTGGATGCAAATCGTCGCTTAAGTTTTATCACCACGTAAGTAATTTTTTGGCGGTTTTGGCATGTTGATGCCATTCGCTAGAGAATCGAAAGACGCGTCGTTTCGTCCAATCTCCTGAAAAGTTGCTAAAAATGACTTAGGTGGTGATAGAACATAAACGACGAAATGCGATAATCCTATCGCTACAACGCTCACCAGTAGTTGGCGCCACTGTCTTAGCCACTAGCGATTGACAGGACTTTACAGTGGCGCCAACTAGTTAGGGAAATGTTTGTCATGAGTCTTACTTTGTCTAGGTAGCAGTAAGGCCAACTAACTGCCTCAACTCAGTATTTAAAGGTATGCTGAAATGGATTGCGTGTACTAACAATTTGGCTCTGGAAAAATAAGTTCGCAAAATTGTACATGCTGACAAGATTCGTATGGTAAACTCGGAATCTATGCGGTTCAGAGATTAAAAGAAATCATTTTTGTATAATAACCATTTGTTTGATACTCTGGAGTAAAACTTCATTACTTGTATTCAATGTTTAGCTAGTGTATAAAATTTCGGGCCTTTGGTAACGCCCCAGTAAAAGTATATCTGTTACAGGAAATGTATGAAATCCGTCATTGTATGCAATTCCTAGGAATTGTGTATAATTCCTAAAATCACCCGGAAATGTGTGATGTAAATTATATTTATTTATTTATTTATTTATTTATATTAGGAAGACCAGGGTTTACATAATTGATTATTTTACAGTTAATAACTCTTGATAACCACTTATAGGTCCCCACAGATAGAATTGTGGTGAATATTTAAAGAAATTATAAAAACAGATAAAATTTATACGATACACGATACACCTAATATTGGACACATTTCCTAGGAAATTCACACATTTCCTAAACAGCAATCGGAAATGTAATATTATAAGATTTCAATGATACGCGTGGACATGCGGTGCGAGGGGAGGGTATTGCATCATCTGATAACGCGGGGTCTCTATCGAATCGCCAAATTTTTTGTACGTCTAATTGTCTATGGCACACAAATTTTAAGGCAAAAATTTTTTTACACAAAATTATTTTTATTACCGAAACTTTTTTTTTTCCGAAACTTAAATAGCGCTCGGCGGCCGCTACCGCGGCAGCTGTGTATGTGTAAGGTCGCAAGTCTAACCTAACCTAACCGAGACTTTGTTATCCAGCTACAGGAGTACTAAAACCTTCATTCCAATAATTATGTAGTTTAATAAATGAAATTTTAGGCGTACCGAGGGGCATCCGATCACGCGACCGCGCTTAGTTCAGTGCCGCTTAGTTTTATACATTTCCTAATACAATATTGGAATTCTATAAAATTCCTAGGAAAAGTATACATTTCCTAGGATATGTGCGTATTAAAAAATCTGTGAAGCAATATTTTATACATTTCCTAAATGGCTTTGGAATTGTATACATTTCCTAGGAATAGTATACAATTCCTAGAATTCATACATTTCCTGTAACATATCCATATAGCCATGTAGCGTTGGGTTGGACGAACTTTGAAGTGGGTATTTGAAAATCATCTTTACTTTATAAGTAGCGCAAACGCCCCACGCTCGCTACCAGTTAATGTGAATACACCTTAATACCAGTGTAAAATATATCCTTTAACGTTGCCAAAACCGGGCCCGTCTTGTAAATTTGATTAAATATAACCACTTTTTTATAAAACTCGTAAACATAATGCCTTATTTATATATTTATACGTACATATCGGTTGCACATGACGTTTGAGTATTAGTTTATTTCTTTCTAGTATATTTATAATGTTCTGGAAAATAAAGAAATCTTCAAATGATAGGTACAGGATGTCATGCTAAAAAAATGAATCAACAAATCACAGTTTAAGTTTGGGAAAGTCTTTTTTTTTATTTAACTTTAAACCTTATGGCGCAAGTACACTGCGGAAAATTACCGAGACGAAGCGCTATATCGCATACCAAAGCACGGGTGTAACTGCGCCATTGGGTTCTATCTTGGCCAAGCCATTTAGTTCAGAAGTGACATTCCGACCTTTATTCAATAAAGGATTTTCAGGAATTACTTTTAAAACTTACTTTATATTGTCTTTTGTGTGCCTTAAATTATACTTAGAATAAACCACTTCAAATTCATTGCAAATTAACACGTTCGCGGTAGTTTGAAAATTATTTTGTAAGAAAATAACAAACATTCAATAACTAGTATTAACATAGTTTTCGCTGATACAATTTTCTTTGCGCAAATTTTCACAATCGTGTGATGCCTCGGTAATGGAATAGAAATTCTATTTAGCTCTCCTGACGACAGTTAATTATAAATATGGGATACTTACCATCTGTCTGACGGACAAAAGATTTAATCTTTTTCCATCTAGCCTACCATCAGTCCCTTAATCGAACGTGTGCCATTTCTACCGCAGACGAATCATCATCATCATCATTTCAGCCACAGGACGTCCAGTACTTACATAGGCCTTACCCAATGATTTCCATAATGACCGGTTGGTAGCGGCCTGCATTCGGCGCTTTCCTGCTACCTTTATGAGGTCGTCGGTCCACCTGGTCGTTATCGCGAACGAATATTTCTAATAAAAATAAAAATCTTTGAGCTTAAAGCTCACAATCACCAGTGTACCAAAACGTATCGTGTATTTTGTAAGCTTTTTACTTTGAAATTGTAATCTGTGATGCAAGCACCATGATGTGACACATCAATAAAATTATCATTTTTATCTGTAAGAGGAAGTTTTTGTTGCTTGTTTTTGATTAAAGTATTTTGTGATACACAATTTCTTTTGTTTTATTCTATGTCCACTTTAGAATATAATGGTTTCGTATAAAATAAGTTTAAGTAAAAACTACGACTAATTTTAATATTACAAGGAAAAGGGACTGTAGAATATCAACTTTTACTTGTTTAAACATCTTGTTTTTTTTTACATAACAATGATATAATTACATACTCGTAATACAAATACTCGTAATGAACCTAGACTAAATATTTACTAATAAAAAATATGTCCCAAATCGCTGTCCAAACAACGCGACATGGTGCCCAGAATGCTGGCTGCAACTTCTTGTTAATTCTTGATAAAATTGTCTTTTATGATACCAATATTGCATTTCAATACATGAAATTGTGTAAAACAAATGATTTGATGTAATGTGTAAAGTAAATGCATATGAGAAAAATTTGGTAAACAAATTGATTGGACTAAAAACAACTTAACTGGCATGACTACCTAATGTTGGTAAGATACCCAAGAACTTAAGGGTATTACAGTTTATTACAATATTGTAAAATTAAATACTTACCTATGTTTTTTAATTTCACAACAAAATAAACCAAAACGACGTCTGTCGCGAACTGTTTTATCATCCACGATGAAAACAATGGTTACATTTTAATTGTATGATCTAATATTTAATATCTTATCGTGATATAGATTTATCAATGATTTTGGCTGGGATGCCGTCACCATTCATTAATTATTTGACTACTATGATTCCGCTTGATGGATTAATTTTTATCAATTATCAAATGGGAATAGCTAACCTCGCTTACTTATTTCACAACATTGCAGATTTTCAATGTAGTTACGGGACTATTCCCACCTCTCGTTTCCACCGCTGCAACTCCTGTGTTGCCAGGTTCTACAGCATAAAAACCCAAGGTTTCAATGTAGTTGTGAAATAAGGCCGTGTGTGAAAGTCAATGCTATGTATGTTGTGACCACAGTTTCACACCCTTTGGCCTATCTACACCATTCTATCCAAGTTACCAAGTCCAATAAATCCATGAAAATCCACTGCTGAACATAGGCCCCAATGACTTCCATAACTTAAGAATCCTTTGCAGTAGAATAATCCTATCATGATCCTATAGAAATAAATTAAATTCTGTCTTTCAATCTTTCCTTCATACGTTTTTTGTGGCTGAATTCTCAAATATTTTTGGAGACAGCAGAAAACGTGTTCAGATTTTCAACTGAATTTTGAAATCAGTAAATCATAAATAAAAATTTTGGCAACCTGTCCCTTATACCAACTACATCAATATTTTGGACGCGAATTTACCCCCAACTTTTGAGCAAAAGCACCACAAAAATATTAGTATCGGCGGCAATGAATGGGTTAAATATTTCGCCCTTTTCCTCAGACAACATTACAATAATTCCAAATCCCAAGTAATACTGAAGAGCCTCCCACCCCCCAAAAGTTGGAGTTCCTGTCTCTCCTGGCTCCTCCCCATCTCTTATCTAGGTAATTCCGAATCGATAACAAACACCTCGTTATAGAATACATCCTGGTGATTTCATTCATAGCTCAGCTGTTTAATAAACAATAACGATGAGATATTGATCTGTGTGTTTGATTACACCATTATTGTACGCTTTTTTTATCTTGATTTTTAATTAGTAAATTAGGGGCCCGCTGGAAATTGGAACGCCGACCGCAAGCAAAAATCAAAATTATCTTTATTTGTGTAGACTAATTAAATTAGTACTTACAAATTGTCAAATGTTTATAAGGAGCCTATACATGTCTCATTCTTTTTTTGCCCTACCAGCGCTTCGAGACAAATATTTGGCAAGTGCTGAGAAGAAGCGCCGCAACAAACTCAGTCATCACTGTCTGCCGGTTTATGTTTACATGATATCTTAAAGCACTGCTTCAATCATCGTGTGGCTGAACCCTGCCGGCCTAAACTACGATTGATCAAAATTGTTGTCTGTAAGCTATATATTTTGTATGTATAACTGAGTTTTTACAAGCGGTGGGCATTGGGTGCTTTAAAACGAAAAAAAATCTGATTGTAAACGACGTCATCATCATTTCATCTAAATACAGCACTCGACATCAAGACGAAAGCCCTACAATCTACGAGTCGTTCCTTTTAGCAGGTGAGCGACCATGTCTTCTGCCACTTCTGTTTGCTTCATGGTGCCGAGTGACTTTTTTGTATTGTAAGTACCTACCTAATTTAAATGAGATTCTCGATCTCAAATTTTTCAAAGTCAAAAGTCAAAATGTCTTAATTTGTATACGCTAATAAATAGTACTTACAAATCGTCAAATATTTTGCACTTAAAAGGAGCATCTACATGTCTCATAATCATTTTACCCTACCAGCGCTTCGAGACCAACATTTGACAAGTGCTGAGAAGAATCGCCGCAACAAACTCAGTCAGTCACCAGTTCACCACTGTCTGCCGGTTAAATAAATTCAAAGTATTGTAATAATAAATAATTTTAATTTCAGGGCACTTCGACACGTCCCAAATATTATTTCGGGCGAACACATCGACTGGTGCTGAGAAGGGTGGAAGATATTACATTTTATTTTAAACCATTTTTAAGCTCTATGTCCAGAACCCATCTACATTGGCGCCGTTATATTAACTACTTATTAATTGATAATATAATCCGTAATTGTAATCTTCACTATCACTGTATAGCTGTCTCCTTTCAATATATAAACCGTTTGGTTGTCCATTCATTACACCACTTGTCGCAAACACCATAATGGGGGGAACAACCACTTTAGTTTGCTTGCTCCTGGCTGTGACAGCGGTAAATATTACTTCTTAATACTATTTTAATTGTTGGTCCCTTTGTCCTACTTATAGTTTAAGTAGATATATTTATAATAGTGAAACTTGATCCTAAGTTTCACTAAAGTAACGAAACGTGACAGTAAAAAAATGTTATATTTCTCCTGAAGTAATCTAAAATAATGTATTTCAAAAATAGGAACTTAAAAAAGTTGGTTTTAAGTGATAGGAAAGTTGAATAGGTATTTTTTCATCCAAATCGTGACGTAAATTTATCAAATACCACGATACAAATGAAAATTTGAAATTGCACTTGAAACGTTGGGGAAGGTATTGAAAAGACATTATTATTTTGTGGCCAGAAAAGTATTTCCCTATAATTAATATTTAGCAATTCCCATTGAAATTACAACAGATGTGAAATGAACTAGGTAATTTAATTTAGTAGGACAAATTGAAAGTGCCGCAACTTTAAAAAATCTCCTTATCTAAATATTACAGCAATATTTCTTATGTATGAGATAATGTCATGATAATCTTAATAGGCACCTATTAATACTGATAAAGCACTAGCACTACTCGTTCTCAGCACTGGCCCGCATATTTGTGTCGAAATAGAGTAAAAGTGCATTTTAAAATAAATGTTTTTTTTATAATCATAATACATTTGAAATAAAAGAAAACTCACTGCTTTTCAAGTGTTTATTTTCCTGCTATTCTAAATCTAGACAACTCCAGTTAGTTCAGGGAAATTACCTGTTTAATCATAAAATATCGCACGAGTTACAGTTAACAAATCAGATAACAAGAAATAACAATCTATTGCTCGCAAGTAGTTTTATAAATATACTTGAGTATCTTTAATTTAAAGTGCATTGTAAAGAACCTTCATTTGAATTCCAGGTTTTGGCTGACGTGAGCATATTGTCCAAGATAGACAAAGGTAAGATTTTTTTTAAACCTATAAATAAATATTTTACACTACGCTTCTAGTCCCAAACTAAGCAAAGCTTGTACTATGGGCACTAGACAACGGATATAAACATACTTAAATACTTTTTTTTGTAAATACCTACATGTAACACCCAGACCCATAACAGAAATTAAAATTCATCATTTCAATTTCTGTCCGGCCGGGAATCGAACCCGGGACCTCTCGGCAACCACTACACCAAACGGCCGACACCTATAATATAATACCTAACATATTAAAGTTAGTCTAGCCCAATAGTGTCGGTGTCAATAAGGGCTATCGTTTTTATACTTAACAGTTGGCACCCCTGGCGATTGACAGGACCTTACTCTACAGTAGCGCCATCTTGATGAGTGCAAATGCGATAGTCGTCCTACCACTTTAGCGCTCACCAGTTGGTGCCACTGTCTTCGCTACTAGCAAGTGACAGGACCTTACTCTACAGTGGCGCTAACTGGTAAGCGATAACCCTCATTCCAGAGGAACGCGGGTTCGAACCCCGACGCCGCTGGACTATTATGGTGAACCCCNGTGAACCCTCGTAACACGTATATTTAAATTACCACGAGGAGCGGGAAAAATACATTCGATTCAATAATTTCTTGCAAAGTCACCAGTACTACGTCGAAATAATGTTATCTTGATGTGGCGTCGTTCGTACAATTTAATACATATTGCATGCTCAATATGAGCAATCCGTTGTAACGAATTTTATGCCCAAACAACGGCAAACTGTACACAGGAAAAGCAATAAATAAATTCTATTAGACGAACAAATGTCTATTGCCTGAGTAGTTGTTCTGCATATCTTCCCTTTATTACACAAACATAACTTTTTGACACATTTAGCACTTTCTGTTGACACACACACAAGCCACATACACCCAACACACACACCTAATACATACACCTAAAACACACACCTAACACACACAGCTAGCACACACACCTACAAATTTATGTAATCGTTGAAGTTTTGTATAAGTTTATATAATTTCAAAATAAAAATGCCAATGTTTATGGCGTCCAATGTGACGCTCTTTTAAAAAAGTGGCCTCCGCAGAATAACAGCGTCCTGTTCTGGGTCTACCTCAGAGCAGGACACAATGCTGAGCGGATGCCATTTTGGTCCACAAATGTGCAAGAATTGTAAACTGTATACTGTAATAATTTAATATGTTGGGCCAAATAAAATATTTTCTTTCTTTCTTCTTTCTTTCTTTCTATTCTATTCTTGCATAAAGGAACTGAAACGATACCTGTGTTTCAAAATCAAAATAATAATTTTGTATATTCCAGCACTTAACCACGTCGGGTCAAAATGGGACACCAAGGATAATGCTGCCAGGAATGTCACCGGGTCCTGGAATGCAACTAATACTCCAGAATGGAATGCGACTACCACAACCCCCGTGCCTACTTGGAATACTACAGTCTGGAATGTCACACAAACCCCAGTGTGGAATGTCACCAACACCCCAGTGTGGAATGTTACCAACACTCCAGTTTGGAATGTAACTGAATCCCCAGTATGGAACGTCACCAACACTCCAGTTTGGAATGTAACTGAAACCCCAGTATGGAACGTCACCAACACTCCAGTTTGGAATGTAACTGAATCCCAGGTATGGAACGTCACCAACACACCGGTATGGAATGTCACCACNCCGACTCCACGCCTGGCGCGTCAAAATGTGTCGCGCGAGCGCGAACGCGCTGCCCCCGTGTATACTCGTGCGCCATCGGGCTCCGACTAACGGTTAGTCGCGTTTTTCGATCTTGGGCACTATTGGGTGAAAGAGAGAGAAACACTCTATTTTTTCGTGTAAATTTGAAATTTGTACAATGTATACTTACGAAACTGTGATCTTTTAATGTTGCGTCCTACCGGAAGTACTTTAAGTCCTGCTGGCAGGACTCCGGGCGATCTATCATTAAAAAAGTTTGTTCTAAGTGATAGGAAAGTTAAATAGGTATTTTTTCATACAAATAGTGACGTAAATTTATCAATTACCACGATACAAATGAAAATTTGAAATTGCACTTGAAACGTTGGGGAAGGTATTGAAAAGCAGTGGCGGCGTAGCATGGGTTGGCACCCGGGGCGGTCACCCCCCCCCCCCCCCGTCATAACTCCTAAGGCACCCCCTGGTACCCCCAGGATTTTGGGGTTACCTACTGATTCGAAGATTGAAAGACAATCGCACCCCCCGTATCATGACATAGACCGCAGATTTGCCATGCNGTCTTAAATTATTTATATTGGCTGTTAATCGTACTAACTATTCTAATTTCGTCGTATCAATAAAATGCAGTTTCAGAAACGTATTCCGTCTATTCTTCCTCAAGTGACATTAATAATAAAAAAGCGAACATCGAAAGTTAATAGACAATAAAAAAACAAAGCGTAAAAAAGTGTACATATTTATAAAAAAGTGTCCATTCGTGGACATCCTCCCCTTTTTTAAAGGAAAACGATTTTTCGTATCTACCACCCAGTCGGAGCACCTTCCGTCAACAGCTCCTGCCCATCATATCAGTCTTGACTCTTCGCACGAGTTGATCCCAGGTGCCGCCCATAAATGGAGCCGAAGGGAGTATGAAGCGCCAGACGATTTTATTGATCGTATCGTAAGGGACTCGTAGTTGCCGATTAGCTCCAAGAAATGACGTGTCATCATCGGAGAGGATGGTGCTCGGTGTGCGATGAACCTCTGGAAAGACATAATAGCCGCATCCGCAGGGAGGCTTGCAACGATCTCAAGGTAGATGGCTCTCGACCATGCACTTGAACAATGCCCCCCACCGTTTCTCTTTCCTGCGACCGATTGCTACTTCAGTTGGTCCAAAATAATCGATGCTGGTGAGCCAATCTTTCCTCGATGACCCACCGTACCGCGTTTCGTATGCCGAGAATCCAAAACTTCTGCCGCAGTTCATTAATGACGCTCTCCGTGTCGCAATGGGCGAGTTTTTCATGACAATGAAGCACAAGAAGGCGTCCCAGTGGCTCTTTGCCCTCCAAAATTACTGGTAGCTGCGCCAAAGTCGACGATGTTCTCTCCGCGAGCCACAGCAGTCCATCCTTCAACACCGGGGATAGTGTGACAAGGCGGCTCTTTCGTGACACGGGTTGGTGGCGCATCAGACAGCATTTCCTCTTGAAAAACGTTCAGATGACTCCAGGAGCAAGGTGCCGTTCTGCACGACGTCCTCAGATATCAGCGGCAATGGGCAAGAAGCGGTGGCGGAAGGGGTCGAAGACCGAAACTCTAAGTTTTACGTTAAAGAAATATCCCCAACCCAAAAATTTCGAAAAAAGTACCGGTGTTTGAATATGAGTTTGAAAAATAAATGGATCCAAGCAGTTGCCCTTACCAGTCTAAACCAAGAGCTAAAATGAGTGACGTTAGCTACTACTGGTAAGGGCCGCTGATTTAATGAATGGACAACGTTGATGGAATCTGAAACATGTTCGGGTGGTACGATGTCATACGTTCGGGTGGTACGATATCATATGAAATGGGTGACTTGAAGCCTTTTCTGCAGGCCGCTCACTGATTGGAGCTACTAAAAGGACTGGACATCGTGACTCAATGCCGCATGTTCCAGTGAGAGAGTCAGTCCAGAAAAAACGCCGACGCGGTTTAATTCGATGTGCGTCTCCAATAGTCGTGGCCCGACGAGAAGCTATCAAAGCTCCCTGCAATTCCAATCGGGGAATTGAAGCGGGCTTAAGCGGAGATATCTGAGTATCCAACCTCTCACTACTATGGGAGCCAAAAGACCTGAATGGATCATACATGAATTCCCTCTTGGTGAAATGATGGGGCTTATTATTATATTATATTGGGGTGATACCAGAATTAACCGACTCCCAAAATAATCCCAGAGTGCGAGTGAATGAAGTGGGTGACAGCGAACTACCTAAATCAACATTAGAGTGATCGGCAACTGAGAGGTCGGACAACTCTTTATGTACTAGCTTTAAAGCGTCGGGGTTATTTTGTTCTTCGATGAGAGCTTCCGATTCACGCCTCGGATCGTCGCGTGATACCATAATATGAAACACAGGAACGGACGAGGTAACCGCTTGCGTTTTGCTACTCGAAAACCCAAACAAAACCCATCCCAGTTGAGTACGAATGGCAACCGGCTGAGATTTCGATCCACTTCTGGTCTCGGAAGCGACTGTGAGAGGCCAGTTATCGACACCTATAATCAGCATGGGCCTCGCTTCATCGTAGCATAATTCGTGTACTATGTCAGCTAAATACGGAAATGATTGGAGGCTTTCTCGTGGCGCAGACTGGCTGCGCAGCCCTAAGTCCTTTATCGACCTCGCCCCTTGAATAGGGTAACTCGTATCGGAACAACGACCTTTTATTTCAAAATCCACATACTGCACGGCGCTATCTTTTGTTAAACCACCTACACAATCTAAATGAATTTGTCCCTGAGGACCTTCAGCGCCTATTCGAGAGGCGATGTCGGAGTCGATCAGCGTGGCTGTAGACCCGTCGTCTAGTAGTGCAAACGTATCGACACTACCAGCAGGCCCAGACACGGTAACAGCCACTACCTTTAATAAGGGACGTAATGCAGGATTGTTAACTAGCGTATCGGTTGCGTTGATAGCTACCGTATCAGGTTTTGAGTTAGATGACGTTGAAGGAGATGATTGTTCGATATTATTATGAGCGGCCGAAATGTGATTAGGTTTAAAATTTGGATCGTGTAATAGCATGTGATGTTTTGCATTGCAACCGTTTGCCTGACAATTTAATTTATTCCTATTGCACGTTTTAAAAATGTGGAAACCTCTTTTTAGACAGCGGTGACAGATTTTATTCCTTTTAATAAAATGCCATCTGTCATCGACTGTCAATGACATGAAGTCTTTGCAATTTGACAGATCGTGCGTTTGTTTACAAAATGAACAAATTTTTGATGTTGGATGATTCGGAACATTTATTGGATGCATTGCAGGTGCTTTGGAAGTCGTACCTGATGTTGACTCGGAGATGGTATGTGTCCGGTGGTGAATTGGGCCCTGTGTCGTGGCATCGGCCACCGCTCCAAACTTTACCACTAAATCCACCTCCCGAGATAGGAAGCGCGACAACATCTCTACCTTACCTTGGCCTAAACTTTCGTTAGCGGCAGCGAAATCCAGCCATCGTGCGCGTAGCAGTGGAGTCAACTTACTTAACAGTCCCCCGAAGAGCTCAGGGGAGCGTAAATAATCGTGGTGTTCCAATAATTTCGCAATTTCGACACAGTTACGCACACGAGTGGCAAAGATTGTCAGATCCCGCACTTCCGGGCCCAGTTTAGGCAAGGCTTTGATGGAATTGACCTCTTGCAAAACGATTAATTCAGGCCTTCCGAAACGACGTTCCAATGCGTCAATTACGTCTTCCGCTCGGTGCGCCATCACCAACAACGTGCCTACCGCCTCTCGTGCGGCTCCTTTCAGAGCCTGGCTTAGCCGGGCGAGGTTTTCCGTATCTGAAAATGTATGATATGTGTCAACAAATGCACGTTTAAACATGAGCCAGTCTAACGGAGATTTCCCATCGTATGTCGGCAACGGTGTTACATTCTTGCTAAACGATGGTTTTTGCTTCTCGGCAAAGGTGTGTAAAGCTTCAACAAGCTGCGCAACGCCAATCGTGCCACCCTCTCCATCGTAGTGCTTATCGATGGCATTGACCCCATTGCCTCGGTGTTGATCGCGCCGAGGCGGATTCGAAGGGCCCGATGCCGGCACTAGAGGGATGACGGCGTCAACGCAGTGCTCATTTTCAGCCTGTTGACACACTTTTGGAGAATTAATATGCCCTACCTCCGCACCGTGGTGCGATTCGTTCTCGGAGTCCTGCAGCCATTCGGCCACTCGTGAGTTACTGGACTCCGAGACTGCCTCACTCAATGCTTCAATGGAAGCCAGCTCCGCCTGATATTCGGCCTCCGCCACTTTACGCTCCAATTCNTATGGAACGTCACCAACACCCCGGTTTGGAATGTAACTGAAACCCCAGTTTGGAATGTCACCAACACCCCAGTGTGGAATGTCACCAACACCCCAGTGTGGAACGTCACTAACACCCCAGTGTGGAATGTAACAGAAACTCCAGTGTTAAATGTAACCAACACTCCAGTGTGGAAGACAATTAAAATTATTTTGGAACTACGCCAATGATCAAGACGATCTAACTTCACCATGTTACATAATCATTAAAAATAGATATCATTATGCGAGATGTGATAAATACAGCTTAACTACAACTACAACTTTCTTACGTCTTTGAATAGTGTAATTTGTACTACCATACTACCGTTCTATTCATAAATAAATTACACCCAATGTTGCTCGCTCACATTGGCATTGGTACAAACAAGAGTGAAGATATAAAATACGTATATTAAGGAACAATCGTCAGTGTTATCTACTGTATACTCACTACTACTAGTCTACTCTTAGTATTTATTTCTTCAAGGATTTATAGACTTAAAAGACCTAATGCTTGTGTAAGAGTGCACCATCTAGCATTGTTCATATTAGAAATCATCTTTTCATTGTTATGAATAAAAAATGCAATACAAACAGATGTTTTTCTCGTCTATTTAAAACTACGGGACTATCCCCACCTCTCTTTCCCACCCAACTCCTGTGTATACAGGATCTACAGCTTGACCGCCAATAAAAACCCAACCAGTGAAGATCAAGTTTGTCCCGGGTGAAAGTTAAACTGTCATTGGACCCGCAACGAAATTAATCAGAAGAACATAGGAGGAGTTCGAAGTTAAGGTTCGACTTCCCTCCGTTGCAAACCGGATGACAGGTGACAAACTAGCTGACCCTTTAAATCGATGGTTCGATTGAACGGACCACTGGCAAAAATAAACACGTACATACACTAGTAACTCCGTGGTAGGACCACATGCAAAAAAGGTGTGGGGACCTGACTTGTCCCCACAAGAAGAAGGAGATCAATTTTTTTCTCAAATCGTCGTAATCTTAATAGGTAATAGGTAGAGAATCGTATCTTGTCTTTATTTTGAATTCGTTTAGAATGAGCCAAGAAAGAATATAAACAAAATAAAATCTTACTATACAACGTTATGTAGCGTCACAACCGGTTTCATCGAACACGCTACTGATTTGATTTATCAATTTCATTATCAAATATCCCACGATAATGTGATTATTTGACGTCAGATAGGTAGGTATTATTGATAACAAATGTGTTCAGTTCAATCGCCTAATTGGGCTTTTTTCCATTTATTTACAAGAAAAAGCGACGGACATGGACGATTTCCAAAAAAGTAAGATCGGTGTCGAAATTCAAGTTATAATACTAGGCGTGCTTAGTTCAATCCTGGACGAGCTGATTAGGAGATTATTATGGCTGCATTTCCTAAAACGTAGTTAAGTAAAATAGGTAGGTGCTTACATTGCGCAAGGAAAAAATACGTATTTTTATTTTCTAAGAAGAACAAAGAAGAATACATTATTTAAATATGTGGCGTTTGTGTATGTGCTAGACAAAACGTCAATAACAATATTCACTTTTTTTACTTTTATTAAATGTTGTCATAGTCCTCCAGCTACTAAAGTACGGTTTCAAAAATAGAGACAGACGAATGGATGGATCATAGTCTGAGTAATAGGGTCCCGTCGGCTGGCACCCATAAATCCAAAAGCTTTGCAAACTACGAACCTTACCCAACTCATACTGGGCTGTATTTTTCCATTTTGTCTCTATCTTGTAGGTACTACTCCATTTTTGGTTTCCGTCCAGTGGCNTAGTGGTTAGCAATGGAAAACGTTGCGTTATGGCTTGGTCGTTGACACGGGCTTATGCTCGCCATCCACGGACCGCTCTTGCAGTCGGTAGTCATAGTTAACAGCTTGAAGCTGCCCTTGATAAATAACTGCTGGAGCAGTTGGCGCGCGCGACTTCGAATGAAGAGCGCGGGCGGAGGTAACTGCGCCAAAACGGGACTATTCCCACCTCTCGTTCCCACCACTGTAACTGCTGTGTAGCCAGGATCTACAGCTTGACCGCCATAAAACCCAACCAATAAAGGAGCGCTATAACTACCCTAAAGTAGTCGCCAGCTCGAGTAGTCATTGTATCCCTGGTGACTACTTGACCACATGACGAAATTTCTGTGCTGACACAACAGCTCAAGCGGTGCCGTGTTTGTGTGTACGTAGAATACTGTAGTTTGCTATGCAGTCGCAGCTTGAAGCTATTAATATTAGCTGCTTCAAGATATCAGTGTGTGGCGGGCTTAAGGTTATGAGCGATTGTTTCCTACTTAAGACATTTGTCACAACTTTAGGCCAAGTTATTATCGGTACAAACAGATAGTCCACTGGTTTTTACAGAGTTTATCGTTGCTTGATTAGATTTATTTATTCCTCGTCATGCATAATAATAAGCTTTGCGGATCTTCACAGCTGTCTGCTTAAAGCTATATTTAGCTTACATTTATTTACTTAGTGCCAACAGCTTGTTACCTATTATTTTCATGGCAAAAAATGATATATATACAAAAATGTAACCTTGTTGGTGTTCAAATAAATAAATAAAATGACTCAAAAAAGAACTACCTTTGGAAATAGTACCTAAAGAAAAAGAATGTTCATTATTATCATCATCATTCATCAGGTCATTTACTCTCCACTGCAGGAATACAACTACAATTTTACAGAACCAAATGGAATTGGCCTATACTTCCTAAATTTTTCAGACCTGATGTTTGTTCAACTCAACTCCTGTGTAGCCAGGATCTACAGCTTGACCGCCAATAAAAACTCAACTAATTTACGTGCTCAAGAGCGCGCATGATTCGATTTCCATTCGAACCGTTGACGCCGGACCGGTAGAAAACGGTTCCTCAACTAATAAACTTAATTTTATCACAAAATTCCAAATTATTTTTTACGCAGGCCTTGAACGCCGCATCTACGTACTGAAGTAGGTATTGGTATTTTGTGCCAGTGAAAATTAGGATAATCCTTTGCGTTATCAGTTAATCAGTTTAATTACAATTATCACCAGTATAAAAGCGAGCAGGGCATCCATTTACAGCTTGCTTTCGTCACCATGTTGGGATATATTGTGTTAGTGTTGGCAGTGGCTGGAGCTCCGGTAATTTATTTTAAAACTTGTGCCTGTAGGATAATGTAACACTCGTTAAAAGATTTCGATTCGTTAAAGTTACATCTAATTGCACGCTTAGACTGGGTTACACCATTTTACTTTAGCTTTAACAAATGTCAAAAATCTGTCGAAAACCGTACAAAAAACACCGGTTATCGTTAAAGTTACGGTTAAGTTAAGTAGTGCAACTCAGCCTTAGACAAAGTAACATTCATGATAGACTTACTTCGTGCTGGATTTTTTGTAAGAATGCCTATCCTATATCTGTGACAAATGTTATTTTGCGATTTCGGCTATGTTGTAGCTTGATATTCGGAATACCTATGTCATAAATATTCTTGGGGTGGTTCAAGGAGAGCGTTGCCGTAGATTATTATTAACGGAAAGAAATAAAGTGTATGAACTCCAGTGTGGAATGTAACCAAAACTCCAGTATGGAATGTAACCAGCACTCCAATATAGAATGTAGGTACCTAACTGAAACTCCAGTGTGGAATGTTCCCAGAATTGACTCTATCATAAATAGAATTGAATTTTGAGCGTAGTTTCCAAATTATAAACTGCGTTATCTAAATAAAATCACGTGCTTTGGAGATTAATAATTTTATGAATTACCTACATGGGTAGATAAGAAATTATTGGACAATTTGAATAAAGAGTTCACAAGTGAGACATAGTAAAGCTAATTGGCGTGGGACAATAAACAACTTACTTGTGGACTGCCTGCTATAATTTGGTGGTCTACATTCTATTGCTTTTTTGTACTTTGCAGGCATTTGCCGGAGATCAGCTGACCTTCCCTGAGGTTGCACGAGGTAAGTTTTAAGAATTTATCCTCATTCATAAAATCCTAGTAAAAATTTAATACCCAAAAGACATCCACGATGAAAGAGCTCTTGGCCTGCATCTCATATGGTTGACTTAAAAAACGATGATCAGTCTGAAAGGCAGAAGCGAGCTTCATTCTTAATCCTCAACCACAGAGAAACTGGGCTGTCTTGCCTTCAGTTTTATTGTTGTGGCGACAGACTTATTTAAGTAAGATGGTGGTAGCTAATATGCGATATAGTTAGACAGAATAAGCGCTACCACCACCCAAACCAAGCAGGAACATTTGCCCCCTCTAGGAATCGAACCCAGAACATCTGGAACCATAATGGGACCACTAAACCACAGAGGCGTTTAAAACTTAAAGTTGTACTATCGCATTAGATCTCACCTGTAATGATAGTGTAATGCTTCAACCACACCAACGCGTGCAGACCGCCATCGCCGGCGCGATCACGGTGCGATCATAGGGAAATGACAGGTCGCGTGAACTGCCATTGGTCGCTCGACTTGTCATTGGCCTTTGATCGCGTCGGCGATGGCGATCTGCACGCGTTGGTGTGGTTGAAGCTTAAATGTGTGGAAAAATAAATAAACTATTGCTTTTCCCTCCAGGCGCTGCCCGCATCGTCTCAGGATGGGAGGCGCAAGAGGGCCAGATCCCTCACCAGATCTCCCTGAGGATGGTGAACCCCGGTGGGGGTGTATCCTCGTGCGGAGCCTCCCTCATCCACCACGAGTGGGCGCTGACTGCTGCTCACTGCACTGCTGCGTAAGTGGGCTTGAAAAAACGTCGCACATTTATCAACCCGGAAAGGGATCGTAACCGTATCAACTCGAGGCAGTCAGTTCTTTGTATGAAACTTCATACTGCATCCGCACGGAACGTAAACGAATCGCCTCGCAATTGACAGCGCGCGAAAGTCGATAAAAGCTCACGAAAGGCGACAGGTGTTGATCCGTTTCCGTGTTGATAAGTCTGCTATGAGCTTTACGCTGTGTCTCCCTACTGAAAATTGGACTCAGAATGAAGTAGTATACTGTCATAGCGTTGGAATGAGACCTGAACCAGAAGCTTACACTCGTTCGCAATGACATGTTTCTTTATACCTCCAGCCGCGTCTCCCTGGTCCTCCGCTTCGGCACCGTCAACCTGACTCGTCCGGCTCTCATCCAGGAGTCCACGGAGTACTACAACCATCCCAGCTACAACGAGGCCTTCCCCGGTGTGGTGCAGCCCAATGACATCGGCGTCATCAAGCTGAGGAGACCTGTCGAGTATACTGGTGAGAGCATCAACATCATGGACTTGACCAATATTGTATGACTTGTTTTTAATAGTTTGTGTTTTATTAGTAGATCCTTCTTTCTTCTATTTGATGTGCCCGTCAGTCTTTAGGTATGCCTTAAATAAATAAATAATGATCTGTTAGCTTTAAGCCTTATTTACTTTATTTAACAATATGGTCATTATAGGTGTGTTATAGACCATTTCAGTCACAGGACGTCCACTGCTTTCCATATTGAACGGTTGGTAGGTAATGTAAAAGGGTCGCTCAACCTTGGGTGGGCGTTCCACGCTGCATTTTCCTCACTATAGGCCTTAT